GGTGTGGGACCTCCAGGAAGAATGAGAGATGATCACACCGCTGCTTCGGCTTCGGTGGTTTAATAATGCAGTTGGAATGTACTGAAGCATTTATCTACGAGGTTTTTAAAATATATTTTATGTATCTAACACTATTGCATCAAATAACTAAATATTATTATATCATATTGTTAAATACTTGCACTTCTTTATTGAACATACTACTACTACTACTACTACTTATTATTATTATTATTATTATTATTATTATTATTATTATTATGGTGGGATAATAGAATCATAGAATCAAAGAGTTGGAAGAGACCTCATGGGCCATCCAGTCCAACCCCCTACCAAGAAGCAGGAATGTTGCATTCAAATCACCCCTGACAGATGGCCATCCAGCCTCTGTTCAAAAGCTTCCAAAGAAGGAGCCTCCACCACACTCCGGGGCAGAGAGTTCCACTGCTGAACGGCTCTCACAGTCAGGAAGTTATTCCTCGTGTTCAGATGGAATCTCCTCTCTTGTAGTTTGAAGCCATTGTTCCGCATCCTAGTCTCCAAGGGATCACAAACTAGAAAACATTACAGAAAATGAACACGTCAAACTCCTCTGGGACTTCTAAATTCAGAATACTCAATATGCCCAAATGTGAACACTGGTGAAATTTGGGGAAAACGGACATTTGGGAGTTGTAGTTGCTGGGATTTATAGTTCACCTATAATCAAGAAGCATTCCGATTTCCACCAATGACAGAATTGGGCCAAACTTCCCACACAGAACCCAAAACAGAAAATACTGTTTTTTTCTGGCAGTCTTTGGTGACCCCTCTGACACCACCTTGCAACCCTCCAGGGCAGGCCCGTAGCCGGGGGGGGGGGGGGGGGGGGTTGTTGGGGCGGGGGTGTTGCATCCCAGTTCAAGAAACAAGACCATAAGATTAAATTCACCACTCTGGACTGTAGGAAAAGCAATCCTTGTTTATTGATGAAAAATTGGTTACAAAAGAAAGGTAAATGCAGAGTAAAATAGCCACAGAAAAACACAGTAGTCAATAGGATCTCTGAACTTGAGCAAAACTTCAAAAGCCACAAAACAATAACCAGGAGTCTGTTAGCCTTTTACTAACCATGAACTTGGAAACTACAAGCCTCTGGGATTACTGGCCATGGAACACAGGAATTCTGCCAAGACCAGCCACAGTCCCGAACGTTGCTTGACCTAAAGAAGCACCCGGCAGGGATGCTCTTAAACCAAAGAAGCTATTCTTAGAAACGCCCCTTGACTTTTCTGTTTGGGCCTCTTTCTGCTGAAGGCGCTGTGACCTTCGTACAGACTGGGAAACAAATCTATCTCTCACTATCTGTTCTCTTCGGACCTCATTATCAAGCCCAGGTGGGGAGATATCATGGCTAACTTCCAAAACATTCTCTTCTAACTGCTGGGTTTCGTTTTCATTCCCACTGACCTCTGCATCAACAACACATTCTACACTGTCAGAGTCAGGGAGAGCTTGCTCAGTTTGAAAAACTATCAGAGAATCCTGTTCACACAGATCAGGATCAGACTGAACCCCAACACTGGGGGGGGGGGGGGGGGAGGGAGGGCTGAATCTGAGTGAAAGAAGGTCTACCCTAGCAAACCTTTTGTATCGTTACCCTAATACCCCCATGCATATGGGATATATTGAGTATGGCGATCAGATCATGATATGAATAAACATAACAATTTAAATAACAGTTTAAATAATGCACCAGTAAGGACTTTTCGTGAACCACCATGAGAATTTCGGGGGGGGGGGTGAAGGCCCTCAGCCCCCCCCCCCCCCCCCCCCCCCCCCCCCCCCCCCCCCCCCCCCCCCCCCGGCTACATGCCTGCTCCAGGGGTTCCAACCCCCAGGTTGAGAAACACTGACCCAGTTCAAAGCAGATTTTGTGGGATTTTCTGCCTTGATATTCTGGGGTATAGGCCTGTGTGGAAGGGCCCTGAGTTAACTGAGTGCAAACTTTTTTTCCAGATTATTTATTTATTTATCTATTTACAGTATTTATATCCCACCCTTCTCACCCCGCAGGGGACTCGGGGCGGATTACAATCTACATATACATGGCAAACATTCAGTGCCATATACACACAACATATATAGACAGACACTCAGAGGCTATTTAACATTCCACCTTCTGGCCACCAGGGGAGCTGTCGCTTCACCATCCATTTGGACACTGATGAAGTACTTTCTTCATTCTTTGTATACTTTCTGGAGATTTTTATGGCCTCGTAAATCAGTTAAATTAGCCTTCCCACATAAGTGGTACCTAAATTTCCTACTTGACAGATGTAACTGTCTTTCAGGCTGCAAAGGTCGACAACAAGCTACACAATTTTGGTTGGGAGCTCACTCTGACCCAGGCTGGCTTCAAACTCATGACCTTTTGGTCAGTAGTGATCTTAATGCAGCTGACTCCCAGCCAGCTGTGCCACAGTCCTGTTGAAAGCCTTGATGCCCTCCATATGAACCTTCAATGACATACATCTTCTGTTGAGGGCTATCATTAGACCCAACTGCTCTCTCCATCTAATTAGATGACAGGAGGCAGACTTCCTGGTGTCTGCTTCTGATCTATAGAATTCCTTCTCAAGGGAAACTCGCTTGTTTCCTTTCTGCTCCTTTTCCATCAAGTAACCAACACATTTCCATTGAAACAGGTCTTGGGATACAGGGACATGGAATAGACCATTGGATAGACCAGGCATGGGCAAACTTCGGCCCTCCAGGTGTTTTGGACTTCAACTCCCACAATTCCTAACAGCCTACTCAGAGGAAGTCAAAGGCAAACCCTCTCTAAACAAAGCTTGCCAAGAAAAACCCACAGCACAGAGCAACAAAGGCATGCCAAAGAGGGAAAGACTACAGTTTAGATAAATAATGAAGCAGCTTGTTGGCCAGCATGCAACTAACTTGTGCTCAGTCCTTTTAGAAGGGTTGGGGGAACAAATGAAAACAACTGTCTTCAGCTTTTGTTCTAATGGGTTTCCTTCCATGTCTGGTAAAATCTCTTATCTTAGGACTCAGAAGGACTAAAACAATTTATTTTTAAACGTTTTTGTTATAGAATTTCTATTCCAACTCTTGGAAACCTTTTAGGAAAGTTTTATATTTTGTTCTTGACACAGTAAGTTGACACAGCCACAAACTGTGACTGAAATCGAGCTTCTTGTTGCAAGTTGGCGCTGCATTCTAGGAACTTTATGAACAAACGTGGAAATGGTATTCCCAACCTCTTTGGCATGAGGAAGAAAGGGGAGATTACACAAATTTGGTGCTAAGCATTTAAAGTGATTCTGCTTCATCTGAAAGGGCCCCTGATATTTGCTACAAATGTAAACAATGTGTTTTCAGAAAGATACATGATTATTCGAAAGGATTTGCTGCCTTTCAGTGCAGGATTTGGAGTCTCTTGTTGACCTGCAATTTGGAACTTCTTACCTGCCCAGCTTACCTGTCTGAATGTATCTCCCTCTTTAAATCGTCATGGAGGTTAAGATCTGGGGAGGCCCTGCTCTCAATCCCGCAGTTGGTGGGGACAAGAGACAGGGCCTTCTCAGTGGTGGCTCCTTGGCTCTGGAACTCTCTCTCCAATGAGATTAAATCAGCACCCTCACTCCTGGCCTTTAGAAAGAAAACAAAGATGTGGTTGTGGGACCAGGCCTTTGGATAGTAAAAGAATGCAGTGCAACAAATAATTAGGAAATATGTGCAATGACAATGAGAAGGACCACGGTGTACAATTTTTGGATTATGTGATTTTAATATTTATGCTAGGATGTTTTAAATGTGTTTAATGCTTAAATGTTGTTTATGTTTCATGTTTAAATGTTTTAATTGTTTTAATTTATAGTTATATGTTAGCGTTTAGTTATTATAATTTTTTTCTGTCTACTTCCTGACTGTGAGAGCTGTTCAGCAGTGGAATTCTTTGCCCCGAAGTGTGGTAGAGGCTCCTTTTTTGGGAGCGTTTTAAACAGAGGCTGGATGGCCATCTGCCGGGAGTGCTTTGAATGGGATTTTCGTGCTTCTTGGCAGAAGGAGGTTGGACTGGATGGCCCACGAGGTCTCTTCTGACTCTAGGATTCTATGATTCTATGTATGTTGGCATTGAATCACCTGGAGGGCCAAAGTTTGACCACGGCTGGTCTATTCCATGGTCTATTCCATGTCCCTGTACCCCAAGCCTGTTTCAATGGAAATGTATTGGTTACTTGAGTCTTTGAGTCACCCCTGGGTTTTGTTTTGTGTGTGTGTGTGTGTGTCAGAAGAGACTTGAGAAACTGCAAGTCACTTCTGGTGTGAGAGAATTGGCCGTCTGCAAGGACGTTGCCCAGGGGACACCCGGATGATTTGATGTTTTTATCATCCTTGTGGGAGGCTTCTCTCATGTCCCCACATGAGGAGCTGGAGCTGATAGAGGGAGCTCATCCGCCTCTCCCCGGATTCGAACCTGCAATCTGTCGGTCTTCAGTCCACAGGAGCCCCCGGTGGCACAGTGGGTTAAACCCCTGTGCCGGCAGGACTGAAGACCGACAGATCGCAGGTTCGAATCCGGGGAGAGGCGGATGAGCTCCCTCTATCAGCTCCAGCTCCTCATGCGGGGACATGAGAGAAGCCTCCCACAAGGATGATAAAACATCAAATCATCCGGGCGTCCCCTGGGCAACGTCCTTGCAGACGGCCAATTCTCTCACAACAGGAGCATCGCTCTTGACACAACCAAAAAAAAAAGTCCTGCCGGCACAGGGGTGAGAAAGGCGATATATAATTATAGTAAATAAATAAATAAATAAACTGTTTGTTTTGGTTTCCTTTCTGCATACTCTCCCCATTGTCTTATCTCACTCGAGATGCCTTTCTGGAGCTTTTGTCCTGTTATGCCCTACCTCTGACTGGCAGACTTCATCATCCGGAGAGGATGCAACACCCTACTTGCCGGCTGAGCTGTCAGACTGATGCAGGCAGCCTGGCCCTTTAATTAGGCCAGCCTGGGAGTTGCTCAGTGCCTTTACTTCTGGCACTGAGGAAGCAGAGATGTAGCTGCTACAGCAGCAGCACCACCACCACCACCATCATCATCTAGAAAGCCAGTACTAGAGAGAGTCTGCAGCAGAGAGGGAGCGAGTATGTATAGGCAAGCAGTCGCACAGGAAAACAGGGCACTTGCCAGTTTTCCTCTTGGAAGAGAAAAAGAGAGCGCAGAGATTGGAAAAAACTAAGCTGCTGGTGAATCCTAATGGAAGGAGGAGTCCATTTAGAAATGTGCTGATTCTTTTTTCATCCCTATGAATTCTTCCCAAATTGGGCTGCTTGAGACTGCAGAGTGTGTGTGTGTCATTCCTTAGGTAAGGCAATTTTGTTGTATAACTTAGTAAAGGGTGGCGGGAACGGGACTGTTTTAGACACAGCAACCGGATGGGACTGTGGCTCTTTTGGGGTGGGGATAATTTGGGGTGGGTCGAAGGTGCCTGCCGGGTCCCCAGGGTACGGAGTAAGTTTACCTGGCTAGGGTTGTGCCACCTTTCTTTAGACATAACAATCATTTGCTTCTTTGCAAAGCAAATATCCCCAATTTGTCCAAGTGACCAAGAGGCCCACATTGCAGACCTAACCCATATTTTTGTGAATGGGAAGGAAAGGGGAACATGGCATTCCAAACCTCTGAGCTGTGTTGGCAAGAGTTCCTTCTGATGCTGCACCGCAAGCAGACTTGTATTGAACATGTGCCATATTAATTATTTAGTGTAACTCCTCATAATGTATTGGGAAATGTTCCTGGCTGTCTTTTGTTAAAAGTCCCTAACAGGAGGTACATGGGACTGACTTAACAAGCAGTGATCATTTGGCTCCATGAAAAAGCAAAACAGTGCCAGGGTCTAGAGCACACGGGGGCAAACTTTGGCCCACCAGGTGTTTTGGACTTCAACTCCCACAATTCCTAACAGCCTCAGGTCCCTTCCACTTAAGCGACTGAGGGGGAAAAGGAAAGGATCTGAGGCTGTTAGGAATTGTAGGAGTTGAAGTTCAAAACACCTGGAGGGCCAAAGTTTGCCCATGCCTGCTCTAAATCAGTGGTTCTCAACCTTCCTAATGCCGCAACTCCTTAATGTTATGGTGACCCAAACCATAAAATTATTTTTGTTGCTACTTCATAACTATCATTTTGCTACTGTTATGAATCGTAATGTAAATATCTGATATGTAGGATATATTTTCATTCACTGGACCAATTTGGCACACATACCCAATACACCCAATTTTGAATACAATTGGGGTTAGAGGCTATTGATTTTGGCATTTGGGAGTTGTAGTTGCTGGGATTCATAGTTCACCTACAACCAAAGAGCATTCTGAACTCCACCAACAATGGAATTGAACCAAATTTGGCACACAGAACTCCCATGAACAATAGAAAATACTGGAAGGGTTTGGTGGACATTGATCTTGAGTTTGGAGTTGTAGTTCACCTACAATGTGGGCTCAAACAATGATGGATCTGGACCAAACTTGGCGCGAATACCCAATATGCCCAAATGTGAACACTGGTGGAGTTCGGGGAAAATAGACCTTGACATTTGGGAGTTGTAGTTGCTGGGATTTATAGTTCACCTACAATCAAAGAGCATTCTGAACCCACCAACAATAGAATTGGGCCAAACTTCCCACACAGAACCCCCATGACCAACAAAAAATACTGTGTTTTCTGATGGTCTTTGGACCCCTCTGACACCCCTCCCCCCCCCCCCCCCCCCGAGGTCCCAATTCTCAGGTTGAATAACATTGCTTTAGAGCTTTGAAGTATGAGATATAAATAGAGGGAGAAGGAGAGTGTTTCCAAATCCAAGGTTTATAAAGCTGAACTTTACATGGTTTATAAGGCTGAGCTTTTGAACTAATTTTCCAAGACAAGCATAAGGAAATCTTATCTTCAGGTCTCATTCTCACATCATCACATACCTATAGCCTTTAATTATTACAGTGGGGAATGGTTTCAATTGGAGGATCCTATATTCTTAAAGCCTAGCTGTTCTTTTCTTGATGGAATGGAAAGTCTGGAAATAGAGAGTGATTCCCAGCAGGAGGCTTGTTCTTAGTGCTAACCTGACTTCTTCCTGGGTCCAATATTATGTGTCACTGGGCCCAATATTAGATTTCTCCAGTTCCAGACAAACATGGAAGTTGTGATGGTTGGTGTAAGAATGTGTAATCAGCATCATCAAAAGTTGTGGAAAAGAGGACAAAGAGAAGAAGCGGAGCTTAGTGTAAGAAGGGCAGTCTCAGGGCAGCTAGTGAAGTGTGTGAGATAATCCCTAGTTAGAGTAATGTCCTTATCTCACAATCCTGGAAAGAAAAATCTCTTCGGTTTGTTTTGTTGGCTTATTGTTCCCGGCACCGCTCCATTTCACAGCTGCCTACCCAGAAGGTGAGTTACATCACTTGCACTGTAGGTTTAACCACTTGTTGCGGCATCATCGTAAGTACTTGAGACCTTCTTTGCTTTTGCTTGCAGGTTCTGAAATCTTCTCATTATTTTGCTTTTGCTTTCCTGGTGGGTTGGATGGAGTTTACAAAGCTACAGGAGAGTCCAGGGAATAATCTGAAAGTGCTCCGAAGGGTTCTGGTTCAGAATATAAGCTAGACAGACTTGATGATACAGGAATGTGTTGGGACTGTCTTAATGACAATGCAGTGATTAGTACAGTGGTTCCCAACCTGTGGTCCATGGCCACCAGTGGTCTGCAAGAACTAAAATATGGTCCTCGGCCTTCTTGCAGCAACACCAGAGGCACTCCAAGTGGCCAGCTACTGGTCAAAGGACATTTAATCAACTATCAAACTCACAAATTTTGTATTATGTCTGTTTGTTTGCTTTGTTCTGTTAGAAATGTAATATAATTGACTGGCTGCCCTGACACGAAATTAAAAAAAAATAGTTCATTACAATCAAAGAACATTCTGAACTCCACCAACGATAGAATTGGTTCAAACTTCCCACATGGAATCCCCATGATCATCAGAAAATAGTGTTTTCTTATGGTCTTTGGTGACCTCTCTGATATCCCCTCGCGACCCCGTCAGGGGTGCCGACCCCCAGGTTGAGAAACACTGACCTAGAGCAATCGATATAAACTACAGGAAATGAGATTCCACCTAAACATTGTGGAAAAGTTCCTGATGGTAAGAGCAGTTTGATCATGGCATGGAATATGCTGCTTTGGAGTTTGAAGGAGTTTCCTCTGGAGGTTTTCGAAAAGTGGCTATATGGCTATTTGACTCCTGATTGTTTAGTCTTGCATGACAAAATGGGGTTGGACTGGCCGACCCTTGCAATATTTTCCAATAATATGATTCTGTGAGGATTACTTGCTTATAGAAATGATTGTGTGATAGGTTGAGCTAGAACTGGGCACCTCTTTTAGGCAACATGCATGCACACCCCATCATGTTATGCATAACACTGTCCCTAGAACAGTGGTTCTCAACCTTTCTAATGCTGCGACCCCTTAATACAGTTCCTCATGTTGTGGTGATCCTCAACCATAAAATTATTTCCATTGATACTTCATAATTGTAATTTTGCAACTGTTATGTATCATCATATGAATATCTGATATGCAAGATGTATTTTCATTCACTGGACCAAATTTGGCACACATGCCTGATATGCCCAAATTTGAATACTGATGGGGTTGGGGGGGATTGATTTTGTCATTTGGGAGTTGTAGTTGCTGGGATTTATAGTTCACCTACAGTCAAAGAGCATTCTGGACTCCACCAATGATGGAATTGAACCAAACTTGGCACACAGAATTCCCATGACCACCAGAAAATACTGGAAGGGTTTGGTGGGCACTGACCATAAGTTCTGGAGTTGTAGTTCATCTACATCCAGAGAGCACTGTGGACTCAAACAATGATGTATCTGGACCAAATTGGCACAAATACTCAAAATGCCCAAATGTGAACACTAGTAGAGTTTGGGGGAAATAGACCTTGACATTTGGGAGTTGTAGTTGCTGGGATGTATAGTTCACCTAGAATCAAAGAATATTCTGAACCTCACCAACAATAGAATTGGGCCAGACTTCCCACACAGAACCCCCATGACCAACAAAAAATACTGTGCTTTCCTATGGTCTTTGGCGACTCCTCTGACACCCCCTCGTGACCCCCCTCGTGGTCCCGACCCCCAGGTTGAGAACCACTGCCCTAGAACCTGTCGATGAAAAGGAATATTTTGCTAGGTGAATGTGGTTGAGATCTAGGAGCTGAATAATATGAAAACGATTGCAGTCCCTGTATTCTGCTGGACTGATAAGGGAGAGGCAAATCACGGGGTGAGAACCTGTTGGCCGGTCTGTTTATTCATTACAGAGGGCCTCCCAGCTGCCTGCATTAAACATATAAAGACCAGATGGATCTTGTTTACTTTGAGAAGATAAATGCAAAGGGTACTGATGATTAAATAAAATAAAAGCACCCAGTGGAACCTCCATGATAAGTTCTTGGTAAACAGCCCTATGAAGCTGTCGCCCATCAACGTCATGGCACACATCCATGGCGTGGAATCATAGAGGTGGAAGGGAATGCAAAGGCCATCTAGTCCAACCTCCTGCCTTGCAGGAATACAAAGGTAAAGCAGCCCTGAAAGATGTTTTCATCCAGTCTCTGCTTAAATAACTCCAAAGTTGAAAAGTCTACCTTACTTACTTACTTACTTACTTACTTAGGCGATCCCTCGTTGTCCGAGTAGGATTATCTTCCAGGGTGGGTCCGTAGGTGACTGTGGAGCCCTATTCTTGATCTGCATCATCTCCCGCAGTGAGGGTTTCCAGGTTGAAGGCGGTCCCGGTTGGGGTTGGCTTGACATGCCTTCCACTTGGCACGTTTCTCTCTTTCGCCTTCCATTTGTGCCTCTTCAAATTCTGCAGCACTGCTGGTCACAGCTGACCTCCAGCTGGAGCGGTCAAGGGCCAAGGCTTCCCAGTTCTCCGTGTCTATGCCAGAGTTTTTAATGTTGGCTTTGAGCCCATCTTTAAATCTCTTTTCCTGCCCACCAACATTCAGTTTTCTATTCTTGAGTTCAGAGTAGAGCAACTGCTTTGGGAGACGGTGGTCGGGCATCCGGACAACGTGGCCGGTCCAGCGGAGTTGATGGCGTAGGACCATTGCTTCAGTGCTGGTGGTCTTTGCTTCTTCCAGCACGCTGACATTTGTCTGCCTGTCTTCCCAAGAGATTTGCAGGATTTTCCGGAGGCAGCACTGATGGAATCATTCCAGGAGTTGCATGTGATGTCTGTAGACAGTCCACGTCTCACAGGCATATAACAGGGTTGGGAGGACA